TCAAATCTGTTACATCGTTTCGGTGTTTGTACAGAATCGGCGCTACCGTAACCCGAAATGCGCAGAAATCGCATTTTAGCACTTTCCGGGGTGAAAAATCGCGTTTTAAGCCGAATTTTTAGAGAAAAATGCTCAAAAATAAGTTTTTAGTCAGTAAATTTTTGAAAATTCCGAAAAATTCGAATTTTGGCTTCAAAAATCATTTTTTCACCTTCTTTCAAAACCTCAAAAAATCGTCTAAAACCCGTAGATTTTCCCCCCTAGAAGTTTTTCTGCATTCTGTCGTAAGATCTGACGCATCGCGCCGGTGTTTGCACAGAACCGTCGCGCTACCGTAACCCCAGGCTGCTTGAAACAATCGATTTTAGGTCGATTTTCGCGCTAGACCTCGATTTTTTTTGGGTCATTTTGCGTTAATATTAACCTTGTGAACCATAAAATCCACCAAATTGTACACATTGACTTCGGATGTCGTGAATGCCACCACACAAAGATCCGCCGATCCTCGAATCGATATTCCATCGATTCCTTTGAGTCGGTAGGCCAGCTGGCGGGTTCCTAAAGGAAATTTCGGTCATTTTTAATCGATTTTTGCGCAATTTTGTCAGAAAAATCGATAAAAAATGACCCAAAAAATGAAAAATTTTTATCGATTTTTATCGATTTTTTCTGAATTTTTTGGGTCATTTTCAAGGCTTCTTACCTTCCACAATTCTCTGACACGCATTGATATATCCATCGCGTCCTTTCCGCAACATAATCGCCCACGCAGTGGCCACAGCTCCACCGTCTCTTCCACCGGACATCGTCGGCGTCGCATAGCAACCACCCGGCCATTCGGAATTTGTGAAGAACTGGTGACGAAGGAAAACGGGCTCACGGTACATCAGCACGGACAGGCGACCCGGACATTGACCGTACTGCAAGAAAATTCGAGAATTTTTGAGCCGAAAATCGTGTTTTTTAATGAAAAATTCGAATTTGCTCGTCAAATATAGTGCATTGCACAGAATGAAGCTCTCGACAAAACAAATGTGAAACTATCCGATTTTTCCGATTTGAGGGAAAATTGACCAAGTTATGGTAGTTTCAACTTTTAGCTCCGCCCCTTTTCGGGTCCCAAAATCCAAATGGGCGGAGCCTAGTCGTGATTATACTCATTTTGAAACTCACAACGCTGGAATCGCAGTTCATATAGCATTTTTCGATTTGGGTGAAAACTGACACCAAGTTACGGTAGTTTCCATTTTCACACCAAAAATTGAAAGTACCGTAACCCTTTCAATTTTGATCGAATTTCAAAAAATTTTGTGCCATTCGATTTGCCTTGTCGTGAGCTTCAAAATGAGTATAATCATGACTTGGCTCCGTCCATTTTGATTTTCAGACCTGGAAATTGGGTTACTGTAGCTCCAAAAG